GGCCTTATTAGGTGAGGGTATGAGATAGGGAACCTGTGAAGGAGGAAGAGACCCTGGTGGCCTGGAAGGCCAGCCCCAGCTGCTGTGCTAGGGAGGAGGGGCTGACCTTCTTAACACCTCAGCACACTAACCAACCTGGAATTAAGACCACCTAGATCGGGAGAGCTGAATTTCAACAAGACCTTGTCACACAGACCAGAAACTCCTGTCCTTTGCCTAAACAAAAAAAGAAAAAAATTTTTTTTTTCTTTTTTGGAGATCCAAAGAGAAATTGCTAAGAGTATGCTCTTCCATCCAGATGGAGGGAAGTACTGAAATACAAACAAAAACACCCACAACCCTGGCTCAGGATCTGATGTTTGAGGAGAAGGAGGGAACTGAGATGACCTTGAACTTGTGGTAGGATACACTGGTGAGCCAGAACCGGGTCTACCTGGCAGGACTAGGTCCTGGCAGGACTCCATCAGCCGGGATGCTGGGAATTAACTGGTGCATTCCCCAAACTACCTTTCTGTGGGCCAGTGATGAGAGGAACTAGAAGACATCTACACCTATAAGGAAGGTCAAATTCTTTAGCTACCTTGACCTTGAATCCACCCAGGGTGTAGATGGGAAGATGGGTATGTTTTTGCAGTGCTCCCTTCCCTCCTCCTCCCCAGCGTCTGATGCCATAAAAGCCATCCACAGCTCTGAGACCTGAGCCGAGCTTTGATTTGTGCTGTCACCTGACCAAGCCCAAAAGACCACCACCGCCTCAGTCGCCCACACCCAAGACATCCAGTTCTGACTTCCCTCGGGAAGGACAGGTGAACTTCCAGCGCTGTTTGTGGCAGGGGACTTCTTCCGGTGAAAACCCCCACAGTGGCTGTCTCCCCTCATTTCATTTTTCTAAAGGGGCGGAGAGGCCTCTTTTAGAAAAGAATAAAATGCAATGTGTGTGATTTACTTTTCTGATCTCTTTGAGAAATAGAGAAATATAACAGTGTGTTCTTAACTCCAGAACCACTCTTTTTGCATAAATACCTCATCGGGCAGCTTTCTAAGTGTCATTTTCCTAAGCCTCCCTTGGCATCTTTGTCAGATCTGGAAGACTTGTTGGGGAAACTTTAGTGAGGGTACTTTTTTTTCTATTTTTTTCTTCTGTTTTTGGAGGCATACACATTATGCATAACCAAAACAATGGCTCAATTGTGTTTAGTTTAACTTTGTATTTTAATTGTTAAGGGAGAAAAAAAAATATTGCTGTGTATGTGGCTGTTTGTAGTGACTTCATTACAGAACGAGGTCGTTCATGTCCTTAACAAGCCAAGGGGCTAAAGGCACCCTCTCTTGTGCCCTCCTCCAAGAGCAGTAGAGAATTTAAGCACAAGCCTATTTGTGAAAGACTATTTTGCTTAAGTGTAATTCACTTTAGTCTTGGAATCCCTTCCCAAATGTCAGGTGTTCTTTTAGCTTCCAAACTAGCATATGTATCCATTAGTCTGACAGCTTCACCTGCACCCAGTTCAGGGGGTGGTGTTTTTTGCTTCATTTCTCCTGCTGGGAGAAGCAGGGGTTCGTGTGTCATTCCAGTATCTCACGCACTCACACGGGGCGGGGGTGGGGGGTGCAGGGAACTATAGCAATATTCAACTCAAAGATGCTTTGGAAAACCATCAGCACCACAGTATCTACAATGACTTGCTATTGGCCCTCAGACACATTTAAGAAGAAAAGACTGCAGCTCTTTTTTTTCTTAAATGAAATACACATGGTTGTTTTTATTCTACTATAATTGTCTTACCTAGTACTGTGTGGAAAAGGTTTTCGTCCTAGATACTTTCCCAGCCTTATCCCACAGCCCCCCTTAGCTCCCTCTCCCATCTCTAATCAGTGTATTTTGAAGAGTTCTTTGGTAAGGCCATCGATCTGAGGAACCAAACCCACATTTCGATGGTCATTTGAGAAAACCATGACCAAGACACCCGGGGCAGTTTGCAGTCTTGGGGCAGTTTTGAAGAAGGAATGTATCAGAGGCCTCCCCAGGAATGAATTTTTCTTAGTGAAGTATTCAACGTGGCTAGGGCCTGCTTTCTGTGGCAGGTGCCACCATGGGACATTTGGGAAGAGGCCACTGTGCTGAATGGTGCCCCTGCCCAAGGGTCATGATGCACAGGGCAGTGGGCTCTGGAGTGAAAACAGTAAGGATGGCGCTCTGCCCGCTCCGAGTCCAGCACAGTGGTCTGCCCAGCACCACGTGCGCCTGACTCGAGCAACAGGGACTCCTCTGCGGGACCGCCAGCATCCTGCTGAAGGTCTCCTCCAGAGGGAAGAGATGTCTACAAGTGACCTAGAGGAGAGGGCTTTCCCTACGGGATCGGATTAAATTCAATGTGATTTCTCTTTCCCTTTCGACTTTATTCAGATTGGGACTCGTTTCTTTCTGGTGGATCACAGCTGCCCAGATGTTGCGATTTATTTTTCTGATTCTGTGGAGAAGTATTTTTTTCCTTTCATCTTCAGGATTTTTTTTTCTTTTTTGCCACCAAAAGAAAACATTGGAACTCTATGTCCCCTCTTGATTGTGATTTACCAGTGTTGACAGTTAAGTCCTTAGTGTTGTAGGTCCCAGCCCACCAATACTATATCAAACACTGTTATGCACATAATGCAGCACTGTGATCTAATTTAAATAATACTTTTTTATTATTTATACTACTATATATAATATACATCAACACTTTTGCTATATAACCTAAGTGAGAAACCCCTTTTAGTTACCTGCCAGACTCTGGACTTTGGTTTATACTGCAGTTAACACAGTTACAAAGTTGTAATGGTGTCTTTTTTTTTTCTTTGTAATGGAATGTGTAAATCAAAGTATATACATTGTGTGGTGTTCCTGTCTCTTGGAATTTCATGAGGATTTACACACGACATTCAGTGTTCTCTATAGACCTGCCTACCTTTGTGAAGTCACCTGTCAACCCCTCTTCCTTTGAGAGCACCAGCCGCGGTGGCTGACTCAATGTCTGCTCTCCTGCTGGTTATTCTTGAATTAAGCACAGACTCATCAGCTCGGTTGCTTTATCATGAACAATGCGTGCGACCTTGGCATTCTTTCACAGTCCAGCAAACAAAGTGCTAGCTTCACTGACCAAAAATTAAGGAAGGAAAACACCATTTTTAAAAACAATTCATCTTTTAACAGCCGAAACCAATGTGTCTATGGTGCTGCATCTTGCCGTTGTGCTTCTGAAATCAGACCGAGGTGAAAAGACCCTTTTCTAAATTACCGTGAGATGCTCACGCTACCCTTCCTGGTTTGTTAGCATCGAAACCGAGACTATTTATTTGGAATACATACAGCAGTGTTTTTCCACTGTGTTTCATTTGCAAGAGTGGAGAGAAAGCCTTCTCCGCTTCTGCAAATAGTTGATATTCCATATTGGATTCTCAAAGACTTCAATATGGTAAACCTAGAAATTGTATTTTATCCTTTCATGACTGTGGCCTGAGTTCCCCACTCCCCACCCCTGTTAGAGAAAAAGTAGCACACTCAGTTAATAAAACACCATTTCTTGAGTATGTATGTCGAGGCCATCCAAGCTCATAGCTGATTCAGTAACCAGTTTCATACTGTCATTCACACTCACTACTTAAATTGCCATGGTGAAAATGTGGAGGAAAAGTAGCCGTGTATGTCTGGGAAGCATATACCTTGTACATTTTTTTATACTCTGATTCTGTAACATTTCTGAGTTGTGTTTTTGTTTTACAGAAAAAAAAAAAACAAAAAACAGTGATAAAGCAATCAGAAGACCAAGAGGTTTACGACTGATGCTTACGGTCAGCTGGCCTTTGCTGGCCAACAGACCTAGATGGCCAAATTAACTTACAAGAGTAATAATTTTTTCAGAAGCCAATTTTTTTTCTGTATTTTCTGTATGAAACTGCCAATATCATGACTAGAAAGGGAATACTATAAAGGAGCAAGAAAGTGATGTTCAGTTGTGTTTGTGTTAACCTAAGGAGCGGTTGGAGATGGGCAAAAGGAGCCAAACTCCAGGGACTTGGTGGCATTGCTTTGGAGGACCCGTACTTGCATTTTGCATTCTTCATATGTAATCATATTGCCAAAGACAAACTATTTCATCATTTATTGTAAATAACACTTTTCCCCAGACCTACCATAAAGTTTCTGTGATGTATTGTCTTCCAGTTGCAATAAAAATTACCGAGTTGCATCAATTGACGAAAAGCACCGTGTGCTGTGTCCCCCTGTACGCAGATGAGCATGAGCTCACCTCGGCTTCTTCCCGAGGTAGGGCAGGTGTGCTGCCCTTTGTGATTCCGATCTCGCTTCTCAGCTGAACTTCCT